AGATACCTCCCTGATAATTAAAGGTTTCCTTCTATCTCCAACTTTGAAAGGTAATTTGTAATTCTTTGGCCAGAGCCAATGTTGCAGTTGCCAGGTTTCCTTTGATCATCTTATATGAGTGCATAGAATTATCTAAGATATTTTCAGGTTCCCAGCTTTTGATTTGACTCTGTTTCAATTGAATTATAGTGGCCAAACCAGAGGTTAAATAATAAATAATAATATATTATATATATATATATACAGTATATATATATATATATTTAATCACTCTTTCTGTGGATCCTCTGACTATACACAAAAAAAATGTTCGCAAGAAGTTTCTATACTTCTAAGCTAATAAAGTCTTAACACTCTTTTTAAACCAACTTGAAGGGGTCTCCTTCAGGACTTCGCCACTCCCCCCATATTGACTACAATTTTCCTCGAACAATACTGGACTCTTGTGACCTGCAAAGTCCAATACTCACCTTGACTACCAATGGCAAGAAAGTTTCTCAAGGAAGAAGAACCAACAGCAAAGTACTTGCCACCTATCAGTTGAAATGGAGGAAACAAAACCGAACCTGAGAGAGGATTTCTTCCATCTAAAGGACTTATCTTCTACCCTTTGAATGGTTGTGAGCCCTCTTAGAGCTACTACTTTTCACAGTTTTTTTGGGAAAATTTGCCTATCCCAGCTTGACCCTGAAATTTTGGGTAGCACAAATTCCATTGATTCTGATTGGTCGACATGAAACACGTTGGACAAGATTGATAAACAAGCTCCTATTGGTCATATCACATATCTGAATGCATTTTCTCAGCTTTATAAGAACCTGGGATCCACCATAAGTCATATGTATGAGTATGAGTGGATACAGGATACAAATTACCATATCATTGGACACAAGAAAGAGTACATCCACCACAGACTGATCATCCAACCAGAACACAAAAAAGAACTAGCTCACTTATACTTGCTGATAAAGACAAACCTCAGCCCGGTATGATGCTGATAGCATAAGACAGCCTACAAATTGGCATGAATAGAGTGGTATGACATCCTTCATACAAGACTGAACCCAAACAAATCACAAGATAGATAGAGACACAAGACAGGACAAATTTTTTCCTTTTTTCCCCTTTTTAAGTGCTAATAAGGTCTCCTTGTATAAGGGACTCCTAATACCGATGGTGTTGGATATCTTAAGTGAGTTTTTGACACGTTAGTCTCCCTAACAGGAATAGAAACAGGTCATCTGGTGGGAAAAATCCTAGGAAGCAAAGGTTCTAGAGATAGGGTTAACAGCTAGTGTCACTTCAACGAAGAAGATTCCCCAACTCCTATAGCTTGTTAGAGTTTAGAGAAAGTCTTACACTAGATGGTCAATAGTCATCCCATTCTGATTGGGTGAAATGTAAATAGATGCCCCTTTGTACTATTCGTTGATCTGTAAATCCTTAGGTAGTAAGAGTAATTAGTCATCCCAGTTGTCCCTAGGACATATCTTGATTTTAATAAAGTATATGTACTGATATAGGAATGAGCTAGTATTTAAATATATATATATATATATATATATATATATATATTTAATCCACAATTATATCACAATAGAATGACTTTATTAAGATATTAAGAAATAACACAATATTTACAGACTTTCATAAAATGATCAAATTATTCTTATATATTATTAGTTGAAGAATTATACTACTTAAAAAATACGAGAAGTTCACTAAACTAGTTTGAATCAAATAAAATTAAGTTTAAACTAAATATTTTAAGTCAGATTTAGGAAATAATATTATACTCTCCCAATAGTTTGATTAAGATATCTAACATACTAAAATCATTGTCAACAGTTTATCACTATTGATTGTTCTGAAAAATGATGAATTATTAAAATATGATACTGGAAAAGAAGAAAAGGGAAATACAATTCAAAACCCTTTAAAAGATTTTTGCTCTATTTTATAATTTCTTTTTGAAAGAGATTTGCTTGATTGAGATATTTCCTAAGTTTCATGATATTTATAAAACTTAACTATTCCTAAAAGTAAATTAAGAAGAATATTTGAGAAATTTATCTTTCTACTGATATATGGATTTGCTTAATACTATTTGAGATAACATTATATTATAAAAGAGTTTGTCTAATTGAGATAAAAAAATTTTTTCAAAAACTTTACCTAACTGGAATAGAAGCTTGAAAATCTTGGATTTATTTAAGAAAGTTTTTTTATTATCTAAAGAACTTAATAAGAGATAGGAATTAAATTTTTTTTTTCTACTTGTCACTTGTCTTTTGATATTATAATTATTTTTTGGAAATTAAACATATATGATTGAAGTGAAATTTTTTCTAGAACTTTTTTTTTGTATATAATTAATAATATATTGAGATATGTGAATATGATTAATAGGAGCTTATTTACATTTCAAAAATTGATATGTTTTATGTCACTTAATTACCTTTGATGAGAATTTGTGCTATTCAAAATTCATGATCAAATTAAGTTAAATAAAATTTCTTAAAAAACTATAAAGATAGAAGTTTTAAAAGAGTCAAAACAGTTAAAAAATAAGTAAATAAATCTTTTTACTATAGAAAATCTCTATAAATTCCTTGCTTCAAAGATTAAAAAGGCCTTCAGATACTTTACAGTTAGTTTTTTTTTTCTTTGGAAACTTTTTTGTTATTGGACTTAAAGATATTACTTGACTTTTCTTGATTATTAAAAGTCAAGTTTTTGTATGAAAAGGTTTGTAAACAATAGAAAAAAGATAAAAACAACTATTAAAGTTATACTTCAAGTTGTTTTAAAATTATTAACAAGAAAGTGTAAAAACTTTTTGTAAACATTTTTTTTGTAAATGGTTAGAGGATCAACAGAAAAAAATTTTAATAACCAATAAAATATTAAAAAATAATTTATATAAATTATAATATAAATTATAAAATTAATTTTTGTTTTTATTTTTTTAATATAATTATAGTAAAAATCAAAAAAATTTTAATTGTTTTTAATAATAAGATTATCTAACTTTAAAATAAAGTAGATTAATCTTGACTCTTTTAAGTAGATTAAAAAATTTAATATCTTTTTTTTTAATATAAATATAACTAAAATTTCATATACTTTGGATCTGAAAAAAATTTTTTATTTTGACTAGTTAATGGAAATCCCTTGATAATAAACTAGTTTTTTTAGTATTAAAAAAAAATATTTATATAAAATGTAAACTATATGAGTATTTATAATAAGCTTGATTTTTTTATTTTTTTAAAAAAAAACTTTTTTAACAAGTTATTAAATTTATACTTTGAACAATTGAGTTTATTATAATTGATAATCAATAAGAATACTTTAATTATTACAGTATATATAGATTATAGAATAGTTTTGTCTTTTTATTGAATAATAATATTTATAGTGAATATTTATAATAGATGTAGCTATAACATTATATACTGTATATATTGCTACTACAAACTTTAATCAAGTATAAAGCAAAGTAATTAGATTTTGTTTCTGATCAAAACCTTGTCGGTGATCTGTAGTAATAATAAATATTAATAGTTAGAAGAATATTTGCCTGAATTAATAAGAGACTAATAAATCACTTTCAAAGTTGTATTTAGAGTTTTAAACTAAGACAAGTGAGTGAGTTAGAGAATTAGCTTTAGCGATACATAGAACATACTGTATGTATGGTTTATCAAAGGTTTAATAAAAAAAATAAAAATAAAATAAAATATTTTATGAGATAATTATTTTATTTAACTATTTTAAATTTTCCAATCCAAAATACAATTTAAATGCGGCATTATTTTCCTTCGCAGATCTTTGGGAAGTTGGAAGAGAAATAGCAATGTTTACGAAATATTTACATTAAAGTTTTTTACACTACTAAGCAATATAAATAATCTTTTAATTGAGCGTCAAGAGCCTATAAAATTTCCCATTTATCGTACGACTGCACTTTATTTAGTGAACCAGTCATGTATTAAAGAATAAATATCCTTAAAAGAAACCTTCGTGGAAAGTACGGATTAAAAAAAAACCGAATGTAACTGTCTCGAAATCCTTTAATTTATTTATATTGTTTCAATCATTTTATTTTAAAGAGTGAAACTCACTGATTTAAAAGAACAAACCATGCAGTCTTTTTTTATTATACTGATTAAATGTAAAATACAGTCTATTAATATATAACTATAACTACATCATAAAAGACATACCAAATTTGGAATGACCGGAAGTAACAATTATAATAAGTTATCTAGCAAAATATTCCGATATTGTAAATTTTATATTTTAGTTTCCTTCTGCAATTTAGGCCTTGCTTCATCCCATGGACCATTGATCTCACTAAGTTACGAATATGTGAAAGTCAGTCATTTAGATTAGTATATAAAGTTCTTGCTCAATGCATCTTGGAAAAGAAAGAACAATATAATATAATTCAACGTACTTCTTGTACTTTTGTATCCAGATCAACCAGTAAGGACACACAAAGGTCACGAAAGATATTCCCAAAATATATATTATGACAATTGTTTTTGATATGTACATGAATAAAGTAGTTGCAAAGATAAATAAAAAACAAGTCAAAGCTATATTGAATCTTGCTGAGAGGCTCTTGATAAACAAAAAAAAAATTGTTATAATTATAATTAATAAAATGACAACCGAAACAAGGAAAAATTGGAATAGTAATGGGCAAATATATGTATATAAGTTATAGGTACTTTTATATATCTTCGGAATATTGGAAAAAGCGCAAACCATTCAACAGCAAAAGACATAAGACCTAGTACATGTGAATTTGATGGAAGCCTTGATGCTAATAAAACTGATGCAAAAATCGCAGCATTTGTTGATAAAGAACCTGGAAATCTAAGTATATAATCAATAATTACTAATCAGAAAATTTAATAAAAATTTTTGTCGTACAAGAAAAAAAAAAAAAGAACTCGAAATAACTTGCCATCATATCACAGTTTCCCAACTTACCTGATGTTTGTCCTATTCTCAGAGCCGTAATCATGGAATAACATGTTTGCGAGAAACAGTATTACAGTTACTGCCCAAATTGTGTCACTACTAGTGTCTTTTGTCAACGTTTTTAAAATAGGTGACAATCCTAAAAGTGTAGCGGAAAATAATATAGCTCCTTTTGCCGTTTTCCATCCTATTTTTTTATTCGAAAATTATTTGTTAAGTGAACTCTCAGGAAACATACAAACCGATTTTACAAAATCCGTACAGCTTACTTTTATATTCGTATGAGGGATCAGTCTTTGATATACTTTTATCCCAAAATATATACCCCATAATAGTGAACACCGTCCCACTTATTATCAAAGTTTGCGCTAAAAGCATGTTAAGATAAAGATATATGAAAACCGCTATGAAGATCACTATACTACTTATGTGTTGTGAAATTACGGTTGATTCCATGACTACAGACCAGTAATCATACAATCGGACATTCGCTGAAAAACAATTAAAACAAAAAATTTAATAATATATATGATATGAAATTATTTCAGATAAGAATACTCATTAGATTTTTTTTTTATAAAAATACCATTTCTTTTTAATTCTTCTAAAAATGTTTTGTCCACATAATTGTCAGGGTAGTCTTGTTTCACCCACAATAGTTTACGCCACTGAATCTTATTCTCCCCGTGTACTTGTTTCTAAAAAATTTTGTTTAGCGAATTTTAAAAAAAAAAAAAAATCTTTTTTTTATCCGGAAGCAAGTTTACCTTATTTGCCAGATTGAACCTAGTGTATTTCACCGAAGAAATCTCTGTTAATAAAAATGTACAAATATTAAACCAATTAATAATCAATGGTTCGAACGTGTAAAAAGTCGAGTTCACCTATCGAATCCACACAATTTACATTTTGTCTCTTCTTGAAATTGATATCCATCAACAGGACAGAAATTAATATTTAATTCGACCATTATGTACGGATAGAATGGGGACAACTGTTTTCCTTCCGATTTTAAATTTTGATTTTTGGTTTCACAAGAAAATTCGTTCCATAAAGGGATCACGTGGATTCTAATTTCGCAATTAACTTGTTAAATTTTAAATTTTATAAGCTAAGCCATATATTATAAAACCAATTTTCTAATTTACTTGTTTTAATTTTTTTAATTCTAAGTACAATTTTGAAAGTGATAAATTATTTCATTTTTTTTTTTTTTAAAAAACCGCAACTGGTATTAGATGCGAGCTTTATTAAGAATTAACTTAACATTTGGTGGATAACTAAATCCGTAGCATGACATCAATCATCTCATACAAACTATATATTTCTATATATATGTAGATTAATGATATCCTATCGTGGTTTGTCCTAGTTAAACCAGCTACCACTCCTTAAGTGGGCAGACCTAACTAGGGGCCAGATGATTAATACACAGTTATCAATAGTATGGCTAGACTAGTTAGTATTGAGCTTGTTAATTTTTGTGTTTTTGTTATTGTTTCACTAAGCTAATCCTTTTCATGTGTACCCAATGGGATATTTTATACCCTCCAATATTCTCAGATATTATTCGCTCAAACCTCGAAAGGGGACACGTTACCTTCTTTGTCACCACCTGTGACATCGGATCAATCCTTATTAACTGATTTTCAATTAAGCAGAGCACCAGATTGGAATATCCTGAGCTAAGAGAGTGGGAGTCCTGGAGATTGTCAAGGCAAGGGGTCTTGGGGACATCTGTGGTAGGCTAGACCAAAAACCTTTTTTCATGCAATCCTTCCAATAGTATGACTGTAAATCTCAGCCCCTGATCGATGGAAGATCAGAAGTCCCATTTTCCTACAGTCTAACTTGATTGGATCTTGTTCCGGATGATTGGGTACAACTTTCACAGGATAATCAGTAAAACCTGATCAGAAGGTAATTTTGATTTTTTGGTCCTTAAGTGGTATTGAACTGCGGACCTTGTGATTGTGACCTGGGAGCACTATCATTGTGCTATTGACCCACAGGTCCAAGTAATAAATTATTTCATTAATAATTCAAATAAAAATCTTTTTAACAATTAATATTATTGTCTATAAATTATTATTATTAATTATTAGGCCTATAGATCAATAGTGTAATGGTTAGTACTCCATAGATCATATTACAAGGTCGCTAGATCAAATCCTTCAGGAGCAACTCCTGACACTGGTAGATCAACCCCATTGACATAATTGTAAATTAATCAATACTTTTGAATATATCTTTGATTACCAGTCAAATGAGATTTCTGATGTAGTTACAGAACAGTCTATATAAAGATTGTGATATGATTGAATATTCAAAATTGGGTAGAATTATTCTGACAAAATCACATTATTGAAAAAGAACCAATAATAAGAAGAATAAATATTTAACCAATAGTATATCACTAAAGAAAGGAATAGTAAATCAATTAAAGAAAACCTTAATTCATTGCCTTAATATTGAGGCATCTGTTCAAGAATTCAAGTATGTATCTATATTAGGTTTCACAAACTTAACTATTAGAAAATCTTGATGAAAAAAAAAATTTACAAATCACTCTAAAGAATTAAAAAATCTAAAAAATTCAAAATAACAAAATTCACTAGTCTGATAATTAGACTATTTTTAATATAAATAAAATTATTCTGGAAAAAATTAAGAAAAAACCACACATCTTTTCAAATAGATAGTAATTATATATAGAAATAGAATAGATATAACTACTCATATAAATAGGTTTATTTCAAAAATATATAATTACTTGTTGACAAATATGTAATAAAGGATTTATATAGATTCTTCAATTATAACTTTGGGAAAGAGGCTTGATATATCCATAAAATCTGTATAGTATATATATTAATAAAAGATATGATTATTATTTCTAACAGATTGAACAGAAAGATTTATCTTATCTAAATATGCACTGATATAATCAATTTCCTATACAAAACTTGAACAGAGAGAAATAAAACTTTTTAAAAATGGAAGGCCACTATGGATATTACAAAAAAGAAGGAAAGACAAACAAAATATGAAACCAAAAAAGAAGATCTATCATTTAATCTAAGGAAAAGATATATAAAAAATTAATACATCAACCTTGTTAATGATTTCATGAATCATTGGCTCACAAATATTATAGATAACTCTTTTATTTTTGAAATTTATTTCAGCACTAGTCCAGCATTGGCAGGTTAACCCCCTTATAAGGAGTGACAACAAGTTATAAGATAAATATCCCCAAAAGGAGAACTCTATTGAATTTTGTTTGGTAGAAAACAGGTAGTAAGTTCTAGGGTAGCCATCCTATATAATCTTGCTGCAAATATATAAATAAAACAAGGCTGAGCCAGTATTTAAAAAAATTTTTTATTATTGATTATTATTAAATTTTAATAAATATGTAGTTTATATTATATTTTATTCTATTTATTAAATATTTTATAAAATTTTTTCACTTTTAATTTTTTTTTTTATTTTTTATATAATTTTAAAATTTTTAAACTTATATATTTTAAAATATTTTTATTTTATTAAATTTAAAAATTTTATAAACTTATATTTTTTCTATTTATAATATAATAATAGTACTTTTAAACTATTGATTACAAAGTTTAAAGTTCAATATTATATAAAAGCTAACAATATATATATATATTTTAACTACCTATAGTTAGACCAACATAATATGTTTATTAATCTTTAAAAAAATTGATAGAGATACATTAAGCAATTATATTATGGCTAAACTAAATTACATACTGACTCACTTGTCAACAACTTTCAATTCTTAAATAAGCTTAAGTCTCTAAATATGACCTTGGAAACAATATTTCACTTTAGAATAAGTTTTAAGTAAAACCCTTCTAACTTACTCATAATTACCAGCAAGTTGTCACTATCTATTATTTTTCAAGAAACTGATTTCATAAAATTATAATAGAGGAAAGAAAAAATAAAGAAAAGAATATATTTAAAAATACACAAATGTACTTATATAAAAAAAATAAAAATAAAAATAAAAATAATTCATATTCTTTACAACCTTTTTAAGATATTCTTTTTTTTTTTTATCATCTGAAGTTATGATTTTTGTTTAGTATTTTTATGTTATATTCAACTTACCCCTTCTTAATTTAGTTTACTCAGTAACTATATAATATATATTTCCTAATTATTCTAATTTTTTATTAACTATTCTATATATATACTTTTTGTATACACTAAATAAGTACCATATACAGTGTGTAACAAAACTTTTTAGAATTCTTTATTTATTTATAACTTAATAAAAAATTATCTAAATAATATAAAAATTTAAATATATATTTTTTAAAAGTTAAATAATAAGATTACTTAAGACTATTTATATAAGTTTTATATTATTTTATATTAAATTTTTTATTTTGTTTTTACTATATTTGTCACGATATGCAAAAAAAATTTTTTACTATAGTAAACAAATTTTTTTCTACCACAATATGCAAATTTTTTGTATAGTATATTAATTTTTTTTCAAATTTTATATCAAATTTTGTACTAAAATTTTTTGTCATAATATATTAGAAATTTTTTATTGATTTTTTGTTAATATTTTTAATGCCAAGTAGTAGCAATAAAAAATAATTCATCAATATTATCAATATTATATTTTATTAAATTTGACAATAATTTAATTGCTAAATAACATAATTTTGATTATTGTATTATATTTTATTACTGGTAATATAATTATTATATCAAACAAGATTACAAATTTTGAATCATTTATAATAACTATAATATCTATTTATAAAAATAAAAAAAAATAAAAAAAATACAAACTTTATCAAAGGTTATTATTATATTTTAGATATATACAATATATCATATAGTTAAAATCCTGCACCTACCAAACTATCCTATGTATTATTCATAAATTGATTAATTTTTTTTTTTTTTTTAATTGCAATCATGTCACTTTGGCATGTCTTTATTGAGATATTAAGAGATATCTAAATATTTTACAGACTTTCATAAAGTGATTAACTCGTCATTGTACATTATTAGTTAAAGAATTGCACTACTTAAAAAATATGAAGAGTCCACTAAGTTAGTTCAGATTAAACAAAACTAAGTCTAAACTAAGTACTCTAAGTTAGATTTAGGAAACAATATTTCACTTTCCTAGTAGCTTGACATAGTACATCTAAGTCAACCAGGATCATTGTCAACAGTTTGTTACTATCAATTATTCCAAAAAATGATGAATTGCTAAAGTTAATATTGGAAAAAAAGAAAAGGGGGAATACAAATCAAAGCTCTCCAAAAGATTC